AGGGCTCCCATTTAAAGCTTATAGAATATACTTATGGAGTATGTTTGTAAAAATCTGTAAATTGGAAGAACTGACTTCCATCCTAAAGTCCTTTGAATTTAAGACTCTTACAGCCTTGATTATTTCAGTAAGAAGAGACCTGTTGAAATGGGATACACTGGGGTAGACTTTAGGGATTCAGTTACAAATTTTCGATAGGAACTTATCAGACTTCCTTTTCAAAGCTAAATGAAAAGTTTACCTTGAAAGTACACTCGGATATGATTGGATTCTCTTGAAATATTATTTAATAACCTCAGAGAGCTTGGCTTATAAAATGTGCTCTTTATTGTGATACCTGTGTACTATTTTTTGTTTTGTTTTGTTTTGCCTTTTTTAAAATCTCACTGCTCAGGCTAAGGTCCAGATTTCCACTGGCTGCTTATCGATTTGTCTCTAATGATTGCAGGTGGAAGATGACAGTGATGCAGAGACCTATGGAGAAGAGAATGAAGAGCAGGGAAATTATTCTAGAAGGAAGATAGTCTCTAACTGGGATCGATATCAAGATACTGAAAAAGAGGTCGATAATGAAAGTGGAGAATCACAGAGGGGGACGGATTTCAGCGTTCTCCTCAGCTCTGCAGGTATGAATTTCAGTTGCACGCACACTGCTTAGTGTTGTGTGAGTTGCATAGACATTTATGTTCCTTTTAAAAGAGCATTTTAATAACTAGCAATTCATCATTTGTTGTTTGGATTTTAAGTGCAGGTAAAGGACAGTTTGTCTAATGGTGTACGGGGGAAAAAATGACGCTTCTTTAAGTGGAAGTCAGGATTTCCATGTACTGATGCGGAATGACTTAAGTCCCGGTTGACATGGATGAAAGGCTTGATAGAAATGAAAAAGACAAAATTATGCCTCTCTTCATTGGGCAGTCTGAGAAATAGAAGTGTTTTCTTTGATTTCAGAGGAATCAGTACTTCTGTTTATACAAAGCTTTACAAAGTTTCTAGAATATATGCTTTTTTCCCCTTCTCTCTTAGCCAGGGATATGCATATTAGTAGGTCACATATGAAAGCCGTATGCGTCTGAACACCAAGCCTTTTTTGTTTTTGGACCGTCTTCTCTATCAAGGTGGAAGACTCCTTCCTTCTGCGACCAGCTGTTTTTTAAGATTGACTCTCTGGAGTGACGTGCAGCAGTGTGGAGCTGGAGAGGGAGGAGCAGGAAGTGGAGCAGGGCTGGTTGTGTAGGAGGCTACCCCCTAGGAGGGTGTGCCGTGAGAATTTAAAGGATGAATGGAGGATAGATTTCGTGGTTTTCGGGAGTTAGAGATGGGATGGTGAAAGGTGGGTGTATCTGTAAAAGGGCAACATGAAGTTTCCTCGTGGTGCTGGAACTGATCAGTATCTCCAACCTACAGAAGTGATGAAAGTGTGTAGAACTTAGTACACACATACACTCACTAAAGTGAGTACAGATAAAACTGGGGAGATTTGAGTAAAACTGGTGGATTCTATCTCTGTCAAATGTCAATTCCTGGTTGGGATATTACACTATAGTTTTGCAAAATGTTACCACCGGGGCCAAGTGACTAGAAGATCTTTCTGTATTATTTCTTATAACTGTATGTGAATTTATAATTACCTCAAAAAAATTGCCAGGTTAAAAAAAAATGAAGGATGAGGATATGAGATGCAAAGAAATAAAGTGAAAATAATATTTTAAGACAGTTTGTTTTGAATTCCTTTTTCTCCCCAACTTTTGTGTTGCTGTTAAGTTACACCTTTCTTTTTTCTCATCTGGATTTTTGAATGCCTATACCAAGCTGAGAATCGTAGAAGAATTGCATACATGTTTGAAGGCAATTCAAAATACTAGTCTAAGCCAACAGTTACGCACATTGGCTTATGCTTTTGGTTATTTATTTTAGCATTTCATTTATAACATAAAACTTGGCGTGGTTGAGGTCTCATATGTATTTTTCTTGCAGTCTGTTTTTGCTTGTGATTTCTTAAGTGGCTTGTTTATCTGTGATTAGTTTCTTGGGAGATCACAGCTGTCAAGTCTTTTGATAATGTGCTTACATTTCTTCCCAGCTCTGCTGTGATCTGTCACTTTCTTTTCACCACAGCATAAGCCTGGGAAGAGAGGCCATATGATGGGGGTAGGGCTGTATTGGTTTACTTATGAGATGTGGAATTCATTCTATGATCATAAAATATTAAGAATATCCTCTGAAATCCCCCCTGGAAACAGCAGGCACTCGAATAGTTGTTGAAGGAACCTCAGCTAGATACCAATCAATCAATTGGCCACAATTTAAAAAAAAAGTCTAACAGTGCTCCATATTGGCGAAGACGGTGAACACTAAGAATCTCAGCTCATCTCCTCGTAGGAGAGCGAGCTGCCAATGTCTAGACAAGTTTAGGACGGGCACATCTAACAAAGTGATTTTTTTCTGGGTTATACATTTACTTGTACGACAGGGCAGTATACTAAAAATCAGAACCATTCCAAGGAATATGGTCAGCCTGTCTAGAGAATAAGCATGCACTCT